CGAGCCGTTAACCAGCCGGACTCGAGCCGAGCCGAGCCGAGCCAAGCCGGCTCGTGAGCGGCTTGGTTCATTAACCAGCCCTAGATATACTCATATCCTGTTGTTTTAGATGAATAAGATTGGACACAATGGAATACAAGCGTTGAATATCATTGGTATATAGTAGTTTATCCTGACTCTATATCTCACAACATGTGCAGTATGTTTTGTAAATAGGATGCAGATTAGTGTCAATTGACTACCATAATAGACTACACAATAAAGCATCAGTTTTGATCTAGGAAGACTTATCTGATGTGATGTCAGCAACCTTTGTGGTCAAGTGATCCTCGAAACCTTGACTCGTACACCATAACTCGACAGAGGCAGCCCAAGAAGAATAATTTGCACTCCCAATCAACTTATCAGTGGTAATTAGCGGGAGAGACAAGAAGGAAAAACCATCGGAAGTGAAGCTTGAGTTGGAAGTAACCATGATAACTAGCAAATCTGACTAGAAACCAGAACTAGAGGTAACACGGATCAAACAAACAGATCAGAGACATAACAAGCTGTCTGAAAAAAAAAATCAGCAGAAGATCCGGGTTTGAGTTTAATGTTAAAGACAGTAGAACCTTAGTGGGTTTGCTCGCCGTCATCTTTTGAGCAAGTTGGTGCCGACGGTGAGAACTAATGCTCGCCGGAAAAGGAGATCGGAGTTGGATCTACAGGAAAGAAACACTACGCGTGGAGGCACATGTGACGGTCGATGACGTCGATCTTTGTGCGGTCAAAGGCATTGAAACCAAATCCTCCAAATTAATATGCATGAATCTTATAGATTCCAAATAAGCACACAAATACAAGAACTCTATTCTAAAACCAAATCCTCCAAATTAATATGCATGAATCTTATAGATTCCAAATGAGCACACAAATACGAGAACTCTATTCTAAAACCAATCTTGAAACAAACTCACAGCCATAGATAACATAAATTGGATCTAATTTAGAATTAACTTTTCTAAAAGACAAGGAAAATAGCAAAGTTATGTTTTTATCAAATTCAACACTCAAAGAGGAGTTCCAAAGATAAATAATTGCACAGTACAGCGCAATATCATATATGGATTCAAGAAGCAGAAAAGAAATCTTTGGCTGATAATTTTCTTTTGCTTATTCTTGCATCAAAACTGAAAAGCTGATATTCAATTTGCCACTGTTTAATCCTCAAAAAACCCACCTGAATTTTTCCAGAAACAAGGCATACCCTAAAACTGATAAAGCTGATGCCATTGAAACAATGGGAAGGAAGAAATAACACCTCCGGAGAACTGCAAGCTTGGGCTTATTTTTGAGCAAGTTTGACTTATTTATTTATTATTGGGTTATTGTGATTGAGTATGAAATCATTGAAATAATGAGAGGGCAACATAAATTGGAAACAAATTCTTTGACCACATTTAAAACACGAGTTTTCTTGAAATAATATGCTTGAAACATATAAATTCGACAATGATAACAACAAATATTAATGGGTTATAATTATTCCTTATGCCAATCATTTACAAACAATATTTGTCTAAACAATTGTTCAATGATATATATATATATATATATATATTTCTTTGTCTGATATAGACAATCCCGATCGGCTATTCTATGTCGTTGGATTGGAAGCCATAACCTTTGCAGATGATGATAGTGAAGCACAAGATTGCATACATAACCCAGGCAGCCCCCTTGACAATCGGAGGAAATGGTATTGAAATTGTGAAGACAACTATTGCAGCAACAAAGAGACCTGACACTATGACCAACCATTTAGCTGTGGCAGTAACATTGCAGCCTATAAACCTGGCAAGAAAATGTGCAAGGATATTTTGACCTATTAAGCTGGCAAGAAAAACATAAAGATAGATAAGCAAGATAGCAAAGTTGAGCCAATGAAAGGAAGCAGGTATTTTGTAACAACTTTGTACAAACAGAACAGCAATTTGAAGTGCTGATGCAAAGCAAAAGGCCAAGGCCTTGTTATGCCAAGGGAACAGGAACTGGATGAGATCTTGCTGAGCAGTAGTTGGATTGGCAATTTGAGCTTCTATGTCTGAAGAAGAGGAAGGTCGGTTTGGTATTGAAGAGATGAAGCTGTAAATTGAAACGAAAAACGCCTTCAAAAAATCAAAAATAGACATCGGTGGTTTTTATAGATTTCAAAATTTGAAATTCCGATGGATATTCGTCTCAAAAGCGTGTGGACTTGGTCTTTAAATAGCACTCGATAAGGATCGGCCAAAGCTTCCACAAAATTTCATTCGGTTAACAGTCTCCAAACTTCAAATTTCATAGTTGGATGGATATTCGTGTAACAACCATATTAGTTTAGATAGAATTCGATAAGGATCCGCGAATATTCGGCCTTCAAATTTGGAAATTTGATGGATATCTGTGTCAAAAGCGTGCTGCAGTTGATGTCTGGATAGATTCCGATAAGGATCCGCGAAGCTTCCACAAATTTTCCTTCGGTTAGCAGTGTCCGAACTTCAAATTTTAGAATTCGATGGATATTTGTGTCATAACATTGAGGTTTATATGGAATTCGATAAGGATCCGCGAATATTCCACCTTCAAATTTGAAAATTTGATGGATATTCGTGTCTAAGCGTGTGCGTTTCAGATAGAATTTGATAAGGATCCGTAAATTCAAATTTGGAATTGATGGATATTCTTGTCAAAAGCGTGTGCAATTGGTGTTTCAGATAGAATTTGATAAGGATCCGCGAATTCAAATTTGGAAATTTGATGGATATTTGTGTCAAAAGCGTGTGCAGTTTTCAGAAAGAATTTGATAAGGATCCGCGAATTCAAATTTGGAAATTTGATGGATATTCGTGTCAAAAGCGTGTGCAGTTGGTGTTTTAGATAGAATTTGATAAGGATCCATAAATTACCAGTGGATCAAATGGTGACGACTGATTGAATATTTATCGCCGACTCACCGGAATCAATCAAAAATCAATTAAAAACAAGAAACTTAGTTTTACGATGGCCGAAAATTGGCGAAAAATCAAAGTCGGAATGAGATGAGTTTTGTAGAGAGGAGACCAAAGGTTAAAATGATTATAACACATAGAATTTTCGTTATCAGAATATGTCGGAATCAGCTTTAGGTAGTAGCGGAATATTAACCTTGGGTAAAAAAATAGTATTCAGAAATGTTTTGAGTGGAAAAGTGTCGTTAAGGCAAACCTTGGGTGAGAAATAGTCGTTTACTCAATCCAAGTAGTGCCAACCTGGGTATTAAAAACTTAGACATTTTTCTGGGCTTAGGGTTGCTATTTTTAAATGCACTTGGGCCTAACCTGGGTAAGCCAGGCCTGAGTTATTTAGGACATGTTTGTTACGTTATTTGAAAAATATTATTTTGATAAAGTGTTTTAAGTTAAATTGAGTTCAGTCAAATCGAATATGATTTGAATATAAAAATATATTTGGTAAAATATTTAGAAATTATATCCAAATTAGATAAAATGCTGAATAGGTGTTTGGATCATTTTCTTTTTTAAGTTTTTAAGATAAAACAGTTGGTTGGTATATTTTCTAAAAATATTTATTATTTGATTCTTTTTTTTTTTTTTTTCAGTTTCAACATACTTTAAATTTAATATTTCTGAAAAGAAATTCATACAACTTACTTTGTAATAAAACTCATAAAAAAAATTGAAATTTACGTAAATAAATAATCACATAACAATGTAACGTGCGAGTGCAAAATTTTTAAACTCTAAGCTAATTTGAGTGTCCACTTTTCTTAGTAGATCCAATTCTTACACTTCGTTTGTTTCGCTTTTGGGTAAAGATGGCAATGGGCCCGATATTTTTGGGTACCCGGCCCGAAAGGGGTGGGCTTTACCCCAGGTTGGCGGGCTTGGGCTTGGGCTTGGGCTTGGGCCTTTGCTTGATTTTAAGGCCCGACCTCGAGTACGGGCTGGGCATGGGTATATCTTTAGGCTTGGCTTGGCCCAGCCCGAAAATTTTAGTATTAATTTTACTAATTTACCCTTATATATATATATATATTTTCCCAAACCCTAACCTCAATTTTCATCCCATATCGAAGGTTTAACATGTTAAAATTGCTTTTAAATGAGTTAGATGGGTTTGGTTCAACTTATAAAAGTGGATTTCACCATAACATATTATACACAGCTGAAAAGTTAGTATAATAATATATTATGGAGTTTTAATTGCTCACTTATTGCTTAAATTATTTACGGAAATAGCTTCAATTAATATTTAAAAACTTTTTCTAAAATTAAAAATATAAAAAAAATTTGAAATTTATTAATATTTAAAAATAAACATTATTAAAAAAGGCGAGCTTGGACTGGGCTTGCGGTTATAAAAAAACTCATCAGGCCGGGCTTGGGCTTGGGCTTTGCCTATCATACCCATAACGGGCTTGGGCCTGTGTCATGAGGTCGGGTTTGGGCCTGGGCCAAGGGGCAACCAGTCCCGGCTCGGCCCATTGCCATCACTACTTTTGGGAATACTATTATTAGTATTCTCAAAAAAGTTAAACAGTAAAATATCATTCCCAAAATATTATTCTATATTTTTCAATTTTTTTTAAACCTCCTAAATTTGTTAATTTAACAAAACACCCCCAAATATTTTTTTTAAAAATTACAAAAACACTCCAACCACCCTCCGGTGGTGGTGGCTAACTGTCCGTATTTAATGGGTGGATTGACGATGTTTTTGTTAACTTTTAATATTTTATTATAAGGGTGTTTAGTAAATAAACAAACATAGAGGATATTTTTGTTAATTTCCAAATCTTACATCTTAATACCTGCCTAATTTAACTTTTTTCAAAAGATTATTCTAAAAACTATCAGAATAATGAACCAAACGGACCTTTAGACTTAGATCAGACCCACATCAAATAAAAGTATTTTTATGAAAAATGAAATCAGAGAAAAATCATAGATATATAATCAGCACATCTTACAATTAGATTTATGCTTGCAAAATATATTCTGCATTTATATTATTTCACTAAAATTTATATAAAAAAATTATACACAAATAAGAAACAAGTTTTACTACTATGGATTCTCTCTATTGGTCTCTAGATCATCCTCTATATTTCCTAGAAACAATATGAATCTGTTCCTCATGAAATAAAAATGACTGCCAAAAATACAGCTCAAACCATATCCAATCCCTAAAAATAAAATTCCTTTTACACATTACCAAGAAAGGCAAAAAGACTGAGCAGTTGCTCAATTGCTCTCAGTGAAATCCGCATCAATGACATCATTATCAGGTCCCCTGGTTGATGAATCTGATGGTCCACTTCAGTGCCGGGCGCAGGTCCAGCACCTGGTTGGTTGTAAAGGGACTGAACAAGTTGCATGACTTCTTGATTAAGGGCACTAGGCAGCCATGGCATCTTTCATTGCTTTGGTCAACTCTGTTGCAATTGCATCTTTGAGCTCCTTTAGTTTTGCCTCAACCTTCTCTTGGACTGGAGCCGGAACCTTGTCTGCAAGCTCCTTCAGCCGCTTCTCAGTCTGGTGAACACGAAATCTACCTGGTTTTTTTTGTCTATAGCGTCTCTCTTCTCCTTGTCCTCCTATGCAAACGTCTCAGCTTCTTGCACCATTTTCTTTACCTGCATATTTTCATTCAAACATTCCCCCAGCACTATTCTATAAAATGGCAGAGGTAAGTCTAAAAAAGTATTAAGACCAGAAGCCACATGATAAAATGGCAAAAACATATAAAGGTTGACTCACTGTAAAATAGAAATTAAAAAAAGTAAGGTACCTGTCAAGAAGATCTGAACACAGTTCCTCAAACTTGGCCCTAGTAATGGTGGTCTCTATATGTTTAGGACCATCTGTGGTAGCAGTGATGAAAGGCAAACTAACAAACCAGAAAAAAAAAAATCAGTATGACATACGTACATCAGGGAGGGGCTGTCCATGTGCCCACAGAGAGAGTCATCTAACTACAAGCAACGTACCTGATGTTTGTCTGAGTCAAAGATGACAACTCCATTTTGGCTTTCTCAGCAGTCTCGGTTAGCCGTTGAAGAGCTTGTTTGCCCTTCAAGAGGTTCATGCCTTCGTCTCTCTTGAAGTTTGCAGCAAACAATCCTCTGCAATCATATGTGATAAGTAAGTCCATTCAGCACCTAAACAGACTACAGATGAGGAAAAGACCATATACATGCATAAGAGCACACGAAGAGAAGACGAGGCAGAAACATCCCCAGCCCATCCAAGGACCAGCCCAAAATTAAAAAAGGAAAGAGAACAGCCCCTCCTAACCTTGCTTCCGCAGCCCCATCATCCCAGCCCTTACAAGGACCAAAGAACTTCAATCTACACCCGTACAAACAAGCATCCAACATGAACCCTCCAGCCTCTAAAAAGGACAGAAACATCCCGAGCCCATCCAAGAAAAACAGACCAACCAAGAGGCCACAGCAGCACGAACAACTGGCCACCCCACTCACCTCTCCAAGCAGCCTCCAGAAACTCCCACAGATATCCATCACAGAAACTACACCAAACACAACACCGCACCCCACCCCCCACAAGGCTGCGCCATAGGAACAACAGTAGCTGCTGGACGCAACAGACCTGCTAGAGCCTCCCACAACCCAGCAGCACCCCACAAGCACAACAAAAAACATATTCCACCCACCAAATAGATACGAAAAAACAAAAAACATAAAATCAGAAAGAATTTTGATTTATCTCTAATGTCACCATGTTACATAACATAAACCTCAACCAAATTTCCCATTATCATGGATGAACTAAAACAATAATCCCCAAAATCCCACTTCAGAAAAACCCTCAAAAGTTCACCAATAAACATAATCTACTCAATTAATGCAATACTATCACAATTTAATTAAAATCAACACTAACTAACCATCAAAGCATGATCCAGCAAGAGTAATAATTAAAACAAACCTAATACCAAACACAGCAGAAATTAAATCATATCAATGTAACTAGCTAGCATAGCATAAAATAACATAATCTAAACGGCAGCTAAATCATTCGGTTAAAACAAAAAAAAAGCGACGGAAACTTGAAAGAGATGAGAAGTAGATGATGAAGAATCAAGAGTTGAGTTTGACTTTACCTGAAGCAGAAAAAGAAATAAGGTAGGGTGGTCGCGAGAGAGAGATCGCCCTTCCCGGCGGTCGTCATCAAGGGTCGGAGAACGATGGGAGAGAGGAAGAAATGTTTTGGAGTGGAGGGAGAGCGATGGGAGAGAAGAAGAAATGAATTGGAGTGGAGGGAGAACGACATAGGATTGATAAGGATAGGCCAGGATCGAATATGGAGGGAGAGCGATCGGAGAGATGTTTTAACTCGAATAGGATTGGAAAATTTGAATGGAAAATAATCACCGAAAGTAATACACCATATTTATGCGCTGAATAACTTGACATAATTCTGATAATAGATTAATTATAATTTAATAGTGATTAACAGTCAGGATTATCTATGTTATTCGGTACATAAATTCGATACACTACTTTCAATAATTGTAACATTACTCAATTAGAAAACAAGTCCAAGGCTGTTTTCATTTTCAGGCAAAAAAATTGATTTTAGTAGAATTGAGTAAATAAGTAAACAAACTGCTTTCCAATTTTTAATCCAAATAAAAAAACAGAATAATGATTTAAAAGAATCTACCAAACAGGTTTAAGTTGAGAAGATTTAGCTGACCGGCCATCTCAAGTTTCGATTTAAGAAAATGGCCTTGAAACCGTTTTTCATTTTTTTTTTAAATTTAGAGAAGCTGACGTGGCACAGTTAGGATCCATTAAACATGTATGGGTTAAAATGAAAAGATTAAAACATATAAGGACAAAATCATAATTAATGATAGTTTTTAAAATTTGAAATTTCAAAAAGAGCCCCACCCATTCAAATCGCTTAATCGAAACCAATTAAGGCAAAAATTGATATCTTCAATGCCTAAACGCATTCTGTGCAATTTCTGGCAATAACAGTCCACATTCCTGCAAATTTTCACACCCAAATTCAATCATGAAACTTCTTCCTTTCTTAAAGCCATGGCTGACATTCATAATGAGGAGGAAAACCCAACGCCTCTTCGAATCATAGAGTCCGGCGGCGCAAGCAGTTCAATGGCTACTCCGGTGGATCCTCCAATCAGTGAAGGTGTTCCAGCAGCGGAGACGACGGCAGCACAACAAGAGAGAGAACAGGAGCAAAACGATTCTGAAAAGGAAGAGGAGGCCGGGCAGAATTCAGGCTAGGAAGAGGGGTCCGGCGAGAGTTCAGGCGACGAGGAGGAGGCCGCAGAGGAGGAGGCTGCCAAAGAGAAGGAGGCTGCCGAAGAAAAGGTATTTGTACTTGCCGAGACCTAAGATTGCTTAAGCGATCATTTGTATCGCTTAAGCGATTGATGGCTTTTACTCTTGGTCGCTTAAGCTATTTAGGATTGCTTAAGAGTAAAAGTGATGAATCGCTTAAGTGATATAAACGATCACTTAAGCGATCTTAGATCTGACAGATGTTGATTCTGCCTCGTACAAGATCTCTTAAGCGATCTGTAATCACTTAAGCAACCAAGAGTAAAAGTGATGAATCGTTTTTACTCTTGGTCGCTTAAACGATTTAAGATCGCTTAAGCGACCAAGAGTAAAATCGACGAATCGCTTAAGCGATCTGAAATCGCTTAAGCGATTTCAGATTGCTTAAGAGATCTTGTATGAGGCATAATCATCTGCCCATCGCTTAAGCGATTCTTCCGGAGCGTATTTTGTTTATATTTGATTTGGTTTAATTTTTTTGCTGATATTTTGTTTATATCGATTGTGCAGATTTTCCGGAGCGTAAACTATAGAGAGTACGGATTGGAGTATGTAAGCGATACGGTACCGTACTTCCCTGTGAGGGTGACAGTAAGGTCAAGTTGGGATGTTTTAACAAGAATAACGGGGATTTTAGGGACAGTGAGGAATGGTGAAGGGAGATTCAAAGAGACTTGTTTCAGTCATTTTTAGGATATGGACACAAAATGGAAAAAGACATTCTGGGGATCGGGAGTGCATTATATGTTGCTGCACTCAATAAAAAGCAACAAAAAGCACGAAATGTGGTTCGTAGTGGATGGAAAGCCACTACGTTTCGGGATGATGGAATATGCGTTGGTGACTGGCTTAAGATGTGGGGAATTGCCAGGTGAGGTTGAAGAAAAAAGAATACAGGACAATACGGGAGCCAAAAGGTTGTCTAACAAGGTTTTGGCTGGGAACACGTCTATTAAGGCATAGGAATTAGAGGACAGGTTAAAAGATGGTGAGTTTAACGGTTCAGAGACCTTCAAACTATGCTTGGTATTGTTCTTACATTTGATCCTAATAGCTGGTGACTCAATAACAGCCATTGATATTGATTGGGTGAAGTTTGTAAGCAACTTGAACTTCTTTAATGCTTATCCGTGGGGACGGATATCATTTAAGCGAATCATGGAGTCCTTGCAAGCAAAAGACCTGGTGTTAAAACACTCCCAATGGGCCGAGAAGAATAGAGCAACCACGTACAATTTGTTTGGCTTTCATGGGCAATGCAGGTAAATATTAATAGGTTTTTGTTATATTTTTTTAATATAATTATGATATGGACTGTTTTATTACAATGTAGGCTTGGATGTATGAGACTATCCCTGTCCTGGCTAAGGCAGGGCGGAGGATTAGGGCTTCGGTTGTGCAACAGACATTTCCTAGGATGTTGCGGTGGCATGACCAGAAGTGTACCCATTGGGATTATGAGCAAATAGAGATTGAAATTCAATCAGCTCGGGTAAGATTAAAGGATTAAGCTTTTGAGTATGCATTTGCTTTAAAATGCCGCTTAAATCTGATTGATTTTGTTTCTTATTGCAAAGGGTTGTCTGTCCCTTTCTCATCGCTACTAGGGGTGAAGCGCAACAACACTATGTCACATCTTTCCGAGCACTGAAGGATCAAAGGGATGAAGGGATAGACCGCCTGACGCGGGAGCTACAAGGGTTCACACATGTGAGGGTAGTTGCAGGGCCACTGCTTGAGAATGTGGTTGATGCCGAGGAGGATGAAGCTGCAATTGGTGGGAGGGAGGAGGAGGGGAGGGAGGAAGAGGTTTGTATGCCTCAGCAAACAGGTACAACAAGTACCGCTTTGTCGAGGCGTCGGGGTTGGGAGAGTGAGGTGGTTGACCTCATAAACAGTTTGTTTGATAGTTTTACAACAGCTATTTATGGCAGGTTTGATAAGATGGAAGAGCAGTTGAAAAGGGTGGAGGAGAAAGTGGATAAGGTGGTAGAGAAAGTTGTTAGGGTGGAGGAGGAAGTTGGTAGGGTGCAGGAGGAAGTTGGTAGGGTGCAGGAGGAAGTTGGTGGAGTATTGAAGGTGGTTGAAGTGCAACATGTGTTGAAAAGAGAGAGCCGAAAGAGTAGGTTTGTGAAATCGCCTTACACCGTACTAACACATGGAATTAAGAGGAAAACAAAGAAACAAATTGAGGAAGAAGCCAAAATTAAGGGCATTAAAGAGGTTGCTGGAGGAAGTGGGGCAGTTATAATGGAGGAGGTTGAGGCGAGAGGCGAAGGAAGCGGGGACGTACAAATGGAGGAAGGGGGAGGAAGCGGGCAAGCGAAAATGGAGTTCACTGTCGATTTGTATAGGCCAATAGAGGAGGAAAAGAAAAAACCCTTCTATGCCTATTACAATGAATCCGAAAGTGATGCCCTTGTAAAGTGTAAGACCAGGGATTATTCTCGGGATTGGTTTGAAAAGATTTTGACAATGGGCAGCTGGCTTCACGACTCGGTGAGTTATTTTCACTTAATTTTCCTTATTTTTGCTTATGTTTTCCATGAGGTATTGTATACTTATCATGTTGTTTTTATTTGATGCAGCACATCAATGAGGTATTGGCACTGATGAGGCTGTGACAAACTAGCAATGGTGATCTACTGTATCCCGATTGTGCCATCATTGATATGGCCTTTGGCCAAACATTGGTATCGACATATCGCAATTTATTGAAAAAGGCCATTGGTACATCTGTAGCAAAAGGAGGCATGCGAAAACGATCGGGCACAGAAGACTTGGACTACGTCCCTAATGATTTTAAGTTTGATGACAAGATGATGCAGTATGTAATGGGGGATAAGCCCAAATATGGCCACAGTTGGGCAAAGGTTAAAAGTGTCTACTGCATCATCCTGGTCAAGGAAATGCACTGGATAGCAGTCGTCGCGCTTTTAGAGGAGAGGTTGCTGAAGATCCTTGACTGCAACCCAACAATTTGTCGAGACAGGCAGTTGGAGGCCGAGTTGGAGCTGCTGTCCGTGTTGTTCCCGCCGCTGTTACGTGACAGCGGGATAGTTAAGCACCTCGGTGATGAAGCATTGACGGGAAAGTGGCCACTCAAGCGCATTCCCGTCTCAACAAATGAGTCAAGGTAAATTTTGTATTAAACTTACATAATACAATTGTTCTATAAGCTGATTCTAATGCTAATGTCATCTTCTTATTGCAGTGCTGATTGTAGGGCATATGCCCTGAAATTTATTCAGTTCGACATGACCAATAGCCCGATGGACGGATTGAATGATGAAACAATGACCATCTTTCAGGAGCGTTGGGCTGTTGAGTGCTTCCATGGGGAAATGGATCCGTTTTGAGTGACCACAACCCAATCAAAAGGTTTGGAACTTGTACTTTGAATTTTGTAGTTTATGTGATGTTGATGTTGATGTTGATACTTGGGTTGTAGTGCTGATGCTGCAGGTGTCATGCTTATACAGAGCTTTACCGAAATAGACGGACTCAGTGAACTTTTCAATCTTGCACTCTATAACTTGGGTTCGTGAAGAGAGAAAATTTTACTCCTCGGACATCCCAACTTTCCATTTAACAAATTGGCCTTGAAAAACTTTTTGTGTTTTTGTGTTTTATTTAGAAAAGCTGACATGGCTGCAGGTGTGCTAGATAATTTGGCAGGTTGCTGGCAAACAATGAGAGGGAACTTCTCAAACTGGCTTGGGCTGTCAGAGTAGGCTGCCGGGAAGGCATCTACAATCAAGGCTGGTGGCCAGGAGGAGGCATCTGCAATCAAGGCTGCTGGCAAGGCATGGTACGAAAGAATGATCTCAGACAGTGATTATACCGAATTCCAAAACTTGTCAAAGTGGCTTAGGATTTATTCTGTTTTGGCACTATTATGAATGATTTTAAGTTTAAACTTTCAATTACATTGATGTCTCTTATATTTTGATCTATGATGGATTTGATTGATATAAATGGCTTCATTTTGCTGCTTATTCTTTTCGGATTTAGGAGGAAAATGAGTG